GATTTCTCTTATGGAAAAATACTGAGACAGAATAGAATAGCCACAATCCCCCACAGCCAATGGCGGCGTCACCTACTGACAGCAGTCCACGACTCATTTGTAATCCTCCTTGGCCTTCTCCAGATACCGTCACACTAATTGGTGAATGGCCTGTAACTCAGACAAATAGTCCTTTGCCTCTGGAACCAGCAAGTCGAGTGGCGTCAGGGGAAAGAACTGAGGATGATAACCCACATTGGCTGGGAATAGGGTGGTTTGGGTGGCGGTGTGCTGCGAGTTATTAAACGCAAACTCTGTGATTGGTTGGACTAAGTAGTCCGACCAATTGTCCTATTGCTGATTGACAAAGCAGCGCAGGTATTGCTCCAGCATCCCAATGACTTTCTCAGTCCCATTGTCGGTTATAGGATGATGTACTGATGACAAGCAGATTTTAATGTCTACAGCCATCACGAGTCCTTTCCAGAATTGGGCTGTAAGCTGAGTCCCTCAGTCTGACACAACCCGATCAGGTAATCCATACAGCCAGAAGATGTGCTGAATAAACATGTGGGTGGTGGCACAAGCTTTGGGTAAACCACGACACGAAATGAAATGCGCCATCTTCATCAGCATGTCGACCACTATGAACACCGTGGTGAATTCCGATGATGGAGACAAATCCATCTGGAACTTCATTGAAGGACTTCCAGTGGCATTTCTGTCATGGACGGATCGAAGTCCATGATCACGCGCAGCTTCAATCTGTGCTCTCCCTGTTAGAGGGCTCCGAACAGGGCCAGAATCACTCTGAAGGGGTGGTGAAGAAGGGGGAGACTGCCTGTCAGGTTGAGGGGAGCCGCATCTCCCCTCCTTGGCTAGGTATACTTCATCCGAAGACGGGCTGTATCAGTGGTCAGAAATGGCAATCCTGAAGACGGAAGGCTATCCAGGACATAAGTATCGTGCTGGAGCAGTGATGAAGTGGCAGTGTGGAGACCAGGAAAACCAGCTATAACATATGAACAATAAGGTACCCTGGAATTAAACCATATAGAAATTTTAAGAAAGATCATAATAGTGGCGATCGGAGAAAGTGAAAAGAAAAATTGGATAGGAAAGTGGCTTTGAACTTTGAAAGAGCTAAATTGAAGGAGAATCTCAGAAAATAGAAGAAACATTTGTTTAAATTGGATAAATATATCTTTTTGGCAGTAGATAGGCACAATTAAGGGCTGAACTTGAAGGTGTCAAAAAAGGGGGAAAGAAAAATTAGATATTTGGCCTTATTGAAATTTAAAAGCCTCAAATTGGAAAAGAAAGTGAAAAGAAACTTGGACATAACGGAAAGCGCCACCTAATGGTAAAGGGAAAATTTCAGTGACTCTTTAAAAGTGTCTGGTTCTTTTAAACTTGGAAATTGATACAAAATAAGAGAGATTTTGTTACATTAACATTAACATTGAAACCCTCAAAAGTGAAAATACAGAATACTAAGATAAAAGAAAGAAGTATAAAGAAATTACCTTGGGATTGTTTGGTGACTTTGGCACAAATTTAAACTTATGGATATTGGATTACTTGATGATCTTGGAAAAAACCTAAAGAGGAATTAATAGAAGCTGATCGTTGGAAATAAACATCCAAGACGCTGGTTGAATTAAATTAATGGACAATTGTCTTGGACTTAAATATTAAAGAAAGGGATAAAGAAAATCCAAAAGAAGGGTATAAAAATGGCAGAACTTTTCTTGGAACTAAAATATAAAGGAAATGTTTCATGGAAGAAATGAATTGTGCTGTATTGCCTTACGACTAATAGAAATGGCAATTCTGGAGAACAAAGAACAACAAGGAGTGCCAGAAGGGGAGGAGCTGAATAAAGAAGAAGCCAGCTTTAATGAACAAATGGAACAACAAACATTAAAACAAAGGGAAAAAAAGAATGGAAATTAAAACTTGGAGGCTTGAGGAGATAATTAAAAAGGGAAATGTCCAGAAAGCCAAACAAAGAAAAAGGAAACAGCAAAAAAGGGAATTACAGAAGAAAGTTTTAAAGAGGGAGGGGGATAAAGCTGGAGTAAGAAAGGGAGGAGAAAATGAAGGGGGAAAAGGTAATAAGAGAAAGAACCAGAAAATAAGGAGATATGGAAGCCAAACAAAAACGAAAATAAATTGTTTAGTTAGGAGACATAGAGATAATGGGCAGATAAAGATTAACGAAAAGGAATTCTGCAAGGTAATGTGTTGTAATATATAAGAATGTAGTTTTTAAAAGCTAACGGAACTGATATTTGCTTTTCATTGGGTTTTTTTAAGGATTATTGTTAATCTATAGATGGATATAATTGAAATAAAGGTGAAAATTGGAAGATATGATAACGAAATGATACAAAACAAAGAATAGTTAAAATGAATTATGAGGATTTTAATGAAAAAACTAATGTCAGTTTCTATAATTAACTGAATAGATTAATATATTTGAAATAATAAATGATTTAGAATTTAACTGGAGAAAAGAATACCATGCAGAAATTTTGATTATGGATTAAAGGGAAATAAATTGAGGGATGTATAAAACAAAGGGGTGGCACACTCTAATTGGCAATTAAAGGGAGAAATTTTTGGAAATATTTGATTTAATATTTAAATATTTGAAACCTACTGAATAATGAAATAAAAGTGTGTGATAAAGTTGCAAATGTGACAGATAAAAGCATAAAGGTATAATGAATTTAGAATAAAAAGTAAGAATGATAGACTATAAAATAAGACCAGAATATTTAAAGAAAAAGGAAGAAAAAGGAATTAAGATATAAATTGAAAATATAAGTATAAAGAAAATAAGAATATTGGAGTAAATTTATGGGAAAATAGAAGTAATGATATGATATAGAATTGAATGTGAAAGAAAAATATATATTAAGGTCATTGTATTGTTTGTATTGAAGTGTAAAAATCTGGAACCACATTGTTCACTGAAAGAGTTGTTTTTAAAATGTAAAAAAAAAAAATATTGACAAAAAAGGAAGTCCATTGAAAGGGCACCCCATCTCTCTGATGTCGGCAAGGGCTGGAGCAGTCCCAGGGAGCCCCTGCCGCCATCTTGGCCTGCCGGCAATGCACACAAGACATAACATAGGACTGCACATAGTGTTGTAGTCGGGTCCATCAGAAAGTCCAAGTCACGAGATGCAACATTTTGAAGAGACCGAAATGCCCCACCGCAGGGTCGTCGTGGCACTGTGACAAGATAAGTCCCTGGAGTGGCCCTGCCGGAACACAGAGCCTGTCATGCTACCGCAAGAGTTTCTCTGGTGCTGCCCCTAGAGTTGTGCAGGAGCTAGTGGACTTACGGGCGCATATATGGGAGGTGCAGCGGCACGACGCTTGGGAGGATCAACAGAAGCAAGAGGTGGGACCCAATTCTCTGTGGTCATTCACTGGACAATTGGTTGAAAAGTGCTGCAGTTGTAAAAGTTAAACCATATGACTACAGTTTGATAACAACCTTACTTCCTCCTTGGTTATTAAGCAAATCACTGTGGTTATTAAACAAAATATGTGACTGCAATAGGCTTAGGGCTTCACTTCCTGTTTGACTGTTAAACAATCATTCTGTTTGTTAATGAAACATGAGTTATTATTTTTATTTCCCCCTCTACTAATCCTTGTCACAATCCAGGTTCAAAGCATACAAATAGCAGTCATGTTACTATGGAATGCTGCTATAGTAAAAATACAACAATTGGTCACAAGGCTGTTTTATTAACATTAAATGAGGCAGTTGGTAAACAAGGACTATCTATACAGACCTTCAACATGAACCTTAAATATAGAGTAGGATAATAGAGCTAGATAGAGACCAACAAAATGTAGACATCTCTAATTCTGCTGTTATCTAGTGATTGTGCAGATTGTACAGCCTAAATATAGTATGCTTAAGAGGTGGTTGATACAAACATGTCAAAGATGGTATTCAGCAGGTTCTGTCCAGTTCTGGAGAACCGGTAGTGGAAATTTTGAGAAGTTCAGAGAAAGTTTGGAGAAGTTTGGAGAACCAGCAAATACCACTTCCGACTGGAGATTTTACAGTATCCTTCCCCTACCACGCCCACCAAGCCATGCCCACAGAACCGGTAGTAAAAAAAATTGAATCCCACCACTGAAACACTTTTCTTGAGTTGCAACATGTACAGTTCCTATAATCTTCAGGGCTCTCTATGTGATGGTGGATGGAAAGGAAGATACCACCCACTTAAAGCAATGTACCCCACCATCATCACCACTTTGGGTGCTGCTTCCTAGCATGCCTTGTTTGAAAGAGGCAATGTAGGATTCAGTGACTGGCAAACCTATTTCCAAATTACAATGATCTTTGTGATCAGATTACACTCCTTTGATCATCAAAATCTTCTGAGGGTAGTAGTGAAAGTATCGGAGAAAGTTATATTCAGTTGCTTACATTTTTTTGCCAATAAATTAACATTAGATATTGGCATTATAAAATATGTGGATTTACTTCCTGATTTTTATGGAAAAGTTGTCCCTTTTACTTCTCTTTTACATCTGTTTCTGATGGTCATTTCCAAATCATTCACAAGCACTGTTGTTACTTGTTATATTCCTTTCTCTTAGTACTCCCAAGGGTGCTTTTTTTTCTAGAGGCAACTAGACTTTCTGGTTTTTCTTTGAAGACATTTCACTTCTCATCCAAGAAGCTTCTTCATCTCTGACTGGATGGTAGGGAATGGAAGGATTTATACTCCTTGCAGACAGCTGGACATTTGCATTCTTTTAGCCGGTCTTTAAGGTCGCCTGGAGGTTTATCTGTGTAATCAGGGTCACTTGAATGGTGCAAACTGGTGTGGAGCCTTCTTGGAACTGTTGAAAGGACTGTGTTGTGGACTGGAGATAGATGGTGCCTTATCCCTCTCCCTCTGTTGAGAGAGGGCTGTTCAATTTTGACATAGATGGCCTCTTTAACCCCTGTTTCAAACCAGCGATCCTCTGTAGTAAAACTTTATAATAATTTTCCTTAAAAAATCTTCACTAGAGAATATATTTAAGTTTGGTAAAGGCTGTTTAAGGTAATTGTTAATTCGACCTAATGTCATTATTAAAATAGTGTAATAACCAAGCCTGCATTTCTTTTTTTTTTCCAGGAAAATATCTAGACTTCAGTTAAGTAAAGTGAAAGTTGAGGATACAGGAGAATACAGTTGTGAAGCAGAGAATGTCCTGGGAACAGACATTGCCACAGGAAGTCTCATAGTCAGAAGTGGTAAGTTATAATATTGAATCAAAATGATATATTTAGTTTCAACTGGTTTTTACAATTGGTGGGAGAAGAAGAACCACATATAAGATGCCCTGAGGGTATATGTGTACAGGTATGTTAATTGAGTTTTCATGAAAAAAGATGGTTATGGTGTCAATTTCATTAAAGGATCTGTGTTATTATTATTTTTTATAATAGTAAGTTGTTCTGGTAAATATGTCCACTGTGAACTTGGGATACATGTGTTATTTTAGATTAAATAATGCTAAGTATAACAAGACAAATAAAGCTGTTGGATGCAGGTGAAAAAAAGTGTAGCTGTCCATTTTGTGTTTGTTTGTGATGTTTCCCACAAATTCTGTGCATTTTGGATCCCAGTTCTGTGTTCTCAGACGTAAGTCCCAGATCATAGAGTACTTTCTCTGAAATAGGATTGCAACCACATGCATGTCTACTCAAGAAGAAGACTTATTGAATAAAATGGAACTTTCTTCTAGGTAAGTGTGTGTAGGAATTTGTTGTGAACCAGGTATTTAATGGAATATGCAATGGCAGAATAAGCTTAAATCAGGGGTGTCAAACTCAAGGCCCGCGGGATGGATGCAGCCTGTAACATGGTCGGATCTGGTCTGCAGGGCCATCCTGGAAAATGTAAAGGGCCAGCCCATGCTGCTTCTGCCCAGTCTACCCATGCCACTTCAGCCTGGTCTATCTGTGTTGCTTTGGCCCAGCCTACCCAGTGCAAAGAGGAAACATGCCAGCAGTTTGGGGAGTGGTGTCAAACTGGTCATGCTCACCCAGTTGGCCACACCCACCCAGTCAGCCATGCCCACCCAGCCCCCCAAGGTCAACCACACCCCTGATGCGGCTCTCAATGAAATTGAGTTTAACAGCCCTGGCTTAAATTATTTTAGCTTTTTCTTGGATTTCTATCCTTCATTAGTGTTTTTGCAAGATTTCTAAAACAAAATGTTGTTGTTGTTCTCAAAAGTTCCCTTTATGAAGTGGTTAATTTTGATACTGTAGTTCTAGGCTTGTTAGGAATGCAAGCAGGGTCAATCTGCACAGTTTCTGCTCTTATTCATCCATACTATTTATATATTATTTGAATGTCATATTCATTTTGGGACACATAGGACCAAACAAAATTAGTATTCTAGTATCAATGTTATGCAGCATTCCGGTGAGATTTACCTTATATTAAAATAACAGAGTACATAGTTTCTGCCCTTCCTTCCAGCCCTCATCAAAAGAACAAGGCAGGCAGTAGTCTTGGGAAAGTGTGCTGTTCTTTTCTCCCAACAACACATTTGTCTTTCTTTAAGCCTTCCTTTGTATCATCTTCTTTTGCATGGTCTCCACAGTTGAAACTCTTTCTCTCCATTTATATTTAAATAATTCTCTTTAATTTGTCTAACTCTCTTCTTAACATCTGTTATATATTACTGGATATTGTCCTTCAATCTTTGACATTTGTGCTGAAGTTGATTCTTATACCCTTCTTGATTCTGTCATCTTTTTAAGTTTGAAAAACTCTATTTGTTCGACCTCTAAGGAGAAGCCAAACCATAAAGAGTGCCCACTCTTTTTCCCAAGCAGATTTTCTAATGCTGGGACTCTCTGTCCCTCCCTCCCTCTCTCTCCTGTCTCCCCCCCCCCCCCCCCGTGTGTGTGTGTGTGTGTGTATGAGAGAGAGACACAGACAGACAGACAGACAGATGATGCCCATAATGATGGCTATCACAGGCCCAGGCCATAACTTTCTTTACTTCTTTTGTTAATAAATTGTGATCACAGTTTAATCTATATGTAGCAGTACCCAGTTCTTCTACCTCAGAAATCTTCTGAGTTTTCACAATCTGAGCCAATCCCCCTCCCCAATCTTTGGGATAGAAGAAGGTAGTATCTATCCTCCAAAAGTTGCATCTTTTGCAATTTGTTTCTGTAACAATGCAAGAGAAACAAGCTTCTCATACCCCTGCTATTTTTCTGGCGATTAAAAGGTCAAAATACAAATATCAAAATAATTTTGATAGTACTAACTATTGACTATGTAGTGTAGAAGTGTGGTGATTAAAAGTTTTTACCCATCCACCACCAAATTGGAAGTTGCCATATCTCCTCCCCATAGGCGAGATCAAACAAGATTAAACTTTATTATTTTTTTAAAAAAAGATAAAATATACCCATTTCAACTATTAAAATTTAGACATTCAAAAGGAAATTATAATAATAGAGCTATTCAGATCAGAATAATATAAGAGCCTGCAAATTATTCAACAACAAAAACCCAAGAAAATCTAGCTGTAGACAGACCGCAGGGCGTGTTGGTCTGCTACAAATCAAGAAAATGTCAAGTTGTTATCTATCACAAGGAGAACTTTCAAAATACTATAGACTACAAGAAGATTCTAAGGAATAAAAACAGGAACAAAGTTCAAAGTATAGGGGTTGTTTTGTTTCCTCTATAGCATTACTATAAAAAATAGAATTTTTGAATTATATTGACAAACTTCCCTTGAATATTTGACTCCTGGTTCTCTGATGCAGATATTTATTTGAAGGAAAAGTGCTTTCTCTCTTTTTACTAAATCTTTCACATGCTAAAACAAAATGTATAAAACAAAAAGCTAAGAATAGCATAGCATTTACATAGCCAATCATGAACAGATTTCTATATCAAAATGCCTCTTTAACCAGCTCTATCTGAATATAATCTAGCAAAAATATTTTATTATGTTTCTAATCTAAATTTTCTAATCTATTTAATGTTTATGTTTGCAAATAACCTCAGATGATATTATCCTTTTCTTCAAAATTTTAGTTTATTTCTCTGTCAAATATTGACATAATGCAATGGTCAATCATGATTAAATAAGACAATGCTCTTTAAAATGTCTATTATTTTTTCAGTTCATTGTCCTTCTGGAAATGCTGCCCACCATAAATTCTATACAACATGCAATGCATGAGACAGCTTACATTATACGATCCTTTCTGGTTCTGCCATCTACAGCTAAGATGTTCACTTGATGCTATGCCAAGGAATGTCTCAAGTCTCTTAACAGAAATCTCCTTGAATTGCTTTTGGTCTATATGAACTTCTGTTTTCACAAAGACTGATTTGTCAGATCCGTGTATCTGTCATTTCTTCAGTGGAAGAAGAAAAGGGGGGGGGAGGCTGATAAAGAAATCCTTTCTTGATGTAACCTGAATATATTTAACCTTATATCGAATTTGTATAACCCATGATACAATGGAGAGAGAAAAGCCAGATGGCCAGAACCTATCACCTCCGAGAGGCACAACCAGGAGATGAGAAGATCATAAAAATTCCACAGTGAGATGTATCCAAGGAATCTCTGGAAAAAGTTCATTCTAAAAAGGGGGTGGGGGAAAATTAGGTATGTCCTGGGAAACTGTGAGAAAGATCATTCCTACAGAAGGGGTGGGGGGGAATTAACATACTGGCTTTTGTTTCTCTAAATACACATCGAGATAAGGGGACGGGTTCGAAACTCCCTTATGTATCCCTGTATGCCTGAGGGACCTCAGACGCTGCTTTGAAATCCTACATGAATTGTCTCATCTCAATAAAGAATTCCTTTTGATACGTTTGGTTCTCAGAAGTTCATTCTTGCTAATTGAATGGGAAAAAGTTCTGTAGCCTGACACATGTCTTCCAAAGCAAATGGTAGTTCTTATGTCATGGTGGCTTGTTTAAAAAACAGCTTTAATCCCATTTGATAACCTCCTTATAGCAGCTCAAGTTGCTATTACAGAATTGTAGTTTGATATGTCTGTGTGAGAGAAGAATAGAACAACAGAATTGGAAGAGACAATTTAGGCATGAGGCCTTTGAAAAGAGTAGGAAGGCATGTTCCATTCTTGCACAATTTTTGGAGGTCCAGAGGCCTTATGAGAGCAAGACCTCCTCCCACACTTCCAGAGGCTTCAGAGGTCACATTAGAGCACACACTACATTATCGTATAGTCTCTGCTGCAGTAGAAAACTTCAGTCAGAAAAATAAAACAGGACATGCAGAAAACTAAGCAAGAATAAGGACATGCTGCCATGTCACCAAAAATGACATGGTGTGTCACTTATGACATGTTTGTCATAGGTTCACCATCACCGGTTTAAGCTCTAAAGCAGTAATCCAAATTCAGTCATCCCAGAGTAATGGCTCTCTAGCTTCTGCCTGAACATTTCCAACTATTGGGATGATAGGGCCCATATCAGCTAGTGTTATAAATAGGATTTCCCCCCTAACATTCCTTAGGATTCTGCTGTCCTGTCAACCTGTGTCTGTTATTCCATAACTTGCATGGAAAATTTAGGCAAAGAAAACAGACTTGTCTTTATAACATACTTTCAATTACATCATATTTTCTCAAGGTTAAGCATTCCTATGTCCTTCAAATGTTGTTGTAGGCCATAGTCCATCTCTGAAATCTTCTTGGGGGGAAAATGGTGAGTGTTCTTGAAATAGTGCCTTGATTATTTTGGGTAATATGTCAGTACCAAAGATACGTCAGGTTTTCAATCCAATTTTATGTAGCTGATTCTTTTTTTTTAGAAAACACTGGAGTTTTATTTGTTTCCATTTGTATTGTATAATTTATTACACATCTTACACTTGTAAGATGGCCTAAAATTGTTGAAGCACAAAATATAAATTCCTACATTAATCAAAGTAAATAAATGAAATGTAGCATACTTAAGAAATCAAAAGGTAAAATAATGCATCTCCGTTTCTTCACAGTAACCACAACTCTGTCTTCTGGGCCTGGACATACTAGACAATGCAATGAAACAGTGAAATCCTATTGTGTGAATGGTGGAGTGTGCTATTATATTGAAGGCATAAATCAGCTGTCATGCAGGTAAGAGAAAATGTTTATTTTCTCCAATTCAAAGGTATCTTTGCAGCTCAATAGAATAAATGTTATATGCAAAAGGACAATGTTGCATTGGTGGGTATTTGGCAATAAAATTAATTAAGAAGAGGAGATGCTGGCTGTAATGACATGGCTACTGTTTTTATTACTTTCAGCTTTGTTTAAATCAATGCTATAGGAAGTTTCTTTCTCAATCCATTTGTTCTGGATCATTAAAAACAATGCCCCACTTTCTCCCCCATCTCCATATTCTTTCTCCAACTCAAGGGTGGCCTTTCCTCTACAACCTAGCTACCTGCAATAGCATCATCTTTCCAACAAAAATGTTTTGTATTTGATTATTCATAGACCAATCCCATTCCATAGTTCAGCCCAAATTTCTGGACTGTAAAATTTGGATGGGCACTAGATGGAAGCAGAGAGATACTGTACAGAAAGTCCTCACTCTTTTCTGCCATCCTTTGGCAAGCTATATTTTTGCAGTCCAAATTTGGTAGCCCAGTCACTGTCATAATCAAAATAGCACAACAAAGTATCAGCAAAAGACATTGGTTTCTTTTATTTCTACTTTTATTTATCTATAATTAACATTAGTAATTAGGAAATAAAATGAGGGAAATAAGAAACAATAAGTCCAGGTTTTATGGAGGAAAGAATGAAACACTTTCACCTCTAAATTTCTGCTTAGAAATGCATCTAATGTAGTTGAAAACAATAACTAAAGGCAGTAACTGAAAGCTGGCATTTCTTGAGGCTTCCCATAAGATAAGTATTTGAAAAGTAGGTGTACAAATAGGATTCAAGATACACTTTGGTGCAATTTTCTGTTGCTGAGGGTTCTAACAGCAGTTATGGCTGGTGTTCCTAGTTTGTTTTCTAGGAATCCGGTTGAGTAAAAATCTATAGAGAGTGATGCTGAGATCCTCTGTAAGTCTTTCCAGGGGTAGAACAAAAATTTTACTTCCAAGTGGGCTTGAATAAAGTTGCATAGTGAATCATTATATTTTTTCTGGCTGGTCATTTTATCAGGATATTTGTCTTCTGGTTGATAGCAATAGCACTTAAAATTATATACTGTTTCACAGTGCTTTACAGCTCTCTCTAAGTGGTTTACAAGTCAAGATATTGCCCCCAACAATCTTATATACCTCTTTTACTAAGATTATTGCCAAACTCACAGTGCATTTTGGATCAGACCATTGTAAAGGATAATGCTATCCTCTTTCACTTTCTTTAAATTGAGTTAGAATAAGAAAAAAATTAATATATAAATAAATAGCCTGTTTTAAACCAATGAATGGAAATTCTTTTCTGCAACCTTGCCATACATTTTCAAATTATTTTTTCTCTACCTCATTATATCATTTTGTCAAAATGTCCAACTTTACTTCTTTTTATTTTCTTATCCCTCACAATTAATTGATGTGCCCAATTATTGCAAATCTGTCTAGAAAGCTAATATTATTCACAAAATTAGTATTTTCAACAACTTTTTAATGGCAATATTAGTAAATTGGTTAGTTCTTATGCTTCTTTGAAATGCTAAAAATCATGGTGCAAATTAAGAAATGACTTTCTATGGTCAACCAGTTTTTAAAGGTTTCTTGAATGTGATTTCATATTAAATATTTTTTTAATGATGTTTCTGTATGGGAGAAGATGGACTTGATATAGTTTAAAGTAAGTGGAAAGATTATTTGATATATATTGATAGGAGAAATTATGATATTAAAAATGTCCTCAAATACTCTAAAATGAGAGATGCAAAAGATTAACCAAGAACAGGTTTCCAAATTGTTTGATAATAATGTCCTGCCCAAAAATGTATTGTAAAGGATTGTTAATGCTTTCTGAGGAGCCGGTGGAGTTCTGATCTGCCATTATGACATGAAATTCATTCAGCTCAAAGGAATTAAACAAAAAGAATCAAGGCAAAGATCTAACTAAGCCATAGGTAGAGGACAGATAGCCTCTTAGTTACATTTAAATGTAACCATTGAAAATTGCATTTGAAAAAATATTTAATGTTGTGTAGTCACTCTTGATTGATATGTTTGACTGATGCCATAGTTATTGTTCTTCCCCTCAATTGATCATTAACTTGGAATGTAATACTGAGAAATCATCAATTTACTACCGGTATATGATTTATAATTAGTTAGGACATATCATTAATTAATCCAGGATAGATCGCACTGATGAGCGACTCGTGGCAGCTTACAACACTGTAAAAAAAAAGAACAAAACATTAAAATATTAAATATTAAAATAAACAGTGTAAATAAATTAAAGATCATTATTATAGGAAATAATGTCATAGGAGGATGAGTAGAAATGGAATAGAACTAAACAGAACTATTTTTCTAGAACATTTTTTTCACAAGCTATTATCCTCACTTTCCAGAACCACTAATTTAGTAGAATCTTACAGCAGGTAAACTTGACGTTCAGCTTTAATGATTTTCAAGTAACTCCTCCTCCTGTTTAATCTGCTGGACTTTTTGCAGAAAACTGATTTACTCCTGCAATTTTAGACTGAATTTCTTCTCATAATCTGATGATATTATTAATTTACCCAGTTGTTTAGGTAGCTCCATAGAATTTGAGTGGTTTTGTCATTCACACTCTGTACTGGAGTAGAACGATCTCGCTGAAATGAAGGAAAGGCTTCCAAATTGAGCCTTGAAGCAAGTTATATGTGGAAGTATGAAATAGTTTAATGGAAGTGCGAAGATGTGCTTGAAAGTAATTTGTTGAGTGTTTATAATTCATTATTAACAATACTAATTTATTTTGATTGATAGAGTTGGGTCAAATAATGCTTGATCCTATTTTTGGTACACCCATTTAATTTTATTTTTCTTGTCTTCTCTACTTTTATAGTTGTATTATAAATGTATTACTTTATGTCAGCAGGGAATTTTTAGAGCAGCAGAAGGTGTACATCTATTTTGTTGAGTCTGAGATTGTTTTTGAGAGAAATTGTTTTTCTGTTCACTTGCATATTTATAATAAGTTGTTATGAAAAATTCCAGCATTCTCTTCCATAAAGAAAGCTAAGTACGTAATCTTCCGAATTTCTAACCTCCTGCCACAAGAAAGAAAGGACATTTGGAACACCACAAATATAATATCTGTGTATATTTTAAAAAAATAATATTGTTTTATTCATTGCTTTCAGTGAAATTTATGAAAGACATAAAATTTGGTTGGTTTTGTAATACAAATGTGTTCCATTATCTATTCAATTAACTGTTTTGTTTTGATTCTGGAGTCTGCCAAAGGAATCAATATAGGTCTCATTATCCATCTCTGAAATTCAGAGCAAAATTTGCTTGACATGGAACATGCACTGTGGCTTATGGGTAGGTTTGTCTGTGAGGATTTGCTTTGGTTTCATATCATTCTGCCATGTGAGTTTTCACAGGTCAGCAGAGAATGCCTTAGAGTCGAAAGAAAAGGAACGAACAGAGACTCAAATGAAGTTGTCAATGAGTTTTCTTTTGATGTATTTTCTTTTGAAAATACTCCAAAGAAATACTATATTATTTATATACAATAATTTATATACTTAAGTACTTAAAAATATTTAGTCGGTGAAATGTTTTTATATATCCCCACTGTCATGGATTTTTTTTTTAAAAGAGACATTTTAAATGGATTTGAACATTGCCTCCAAAGAATACATAGGATTGCATACCTATATATTGTGTGAATTGGGGTAGATTTGTACAAACACTTCCAGAATTGTGAACTACTTTCTGTAACTAGCTACTTCAAAAACCTTGAAATCTTCCCTAGATTTTTGTGTTTGGCTTATTATATTGACATTTCCTTTGTCAGTATAAATTTCCCTATTCTATCCCATCCTACTCTTTTGGTTTCTAGAATTTCCTTTTCCTTTCTTTATTAAAATACAAGTTAAATGTCACCCCTTGGACTATTAGAATTATTTTGCATTTGATATAGTATCAGATATTCTACAATTATATTTCTGGCCTTTTCTCCTGTTTAGCAAATTGCTTCATATTTATCCCATTGATACAAATTCAACATGTTCCAATAATCTCAGCCCATAGTTATACAAGCCTATGCCAGAAACAGAGGGAAACATTCATGCTTTACTAAAAAAAAAAGGAAAGAAAGAAAAAGAGATTGATGTTTTTGCCCCAAAATACTTGCTGTAATAGGGATTGGGGTTGTGTTGGAGAAAAAGAAGAAACACAAAGGAAAGAAAGAAAAGAAATATGAGCAAACATGCTAACCTATAATTTAAGATTTAAAAATGGTAGCTATTGAGAATAAATGGGAAAGAAGCATGTTTTTGAATTCATTATGATGGTTCTTCAAGATCACAAAATAATTGATTATTGTGCCTGCCAAGTGAACTGTTCTGATTTTTGAACTATCAGTAGCACCATCTACATGTTCTTACAGGTCTTCAAAAGTGGAGAATAATGGGTAGTTTTAAGATACTGCCCGATTCATGAACAACTGAGTTTTTGCTTGTCGTTTATCACATGCTCTAGCAATTGTTTTCTGTAAGGATTCAAAATATGAACTTTCAAAATGAAGCTCTTGAAAATTATTGTTGTTGTTGCTTTTGTTATTTTTTTATTTTTATATTGCTCTTCCCTCTGAAGGAAAACAGTTCAATAATACCTTTTAAAATGTGCTTGAGACTGGCTAAAATTGAATATACTGTATTGCACCATTCCCCTTCTTGTTTTTATACTAATCTTTAATCAGAACAAGAAAGATAGATCCATTTGGCCAGACCCATATTTTGCTTTTTTTCTTCAAGTGAAAGCATTTCGCCACTATTATTAATGAATTAAATTATTGGAAAAATGTATGCAAATAAAAAAGAGTATATTGCTGTTTGCTAGTTTGTATTTTGCTCAATTTCTTTAGCATACGTAAAATAGAGGATGGATCTGTTATTTTATATAAATCTGAATAATAACCTTCCAAAAGCTACTTTAAAAAGCAAATGGCAATGATACCTTGGGCCTCATTGGTGTCACAATATTTTTGATGGAATGTTTGTCTTGCAGCATTGTCTTCCTGAGAATTTGTGGGAAAGGTGTTCACAGGAGAAATTTTAATTTGGTTGATCCAAAACCTAAGATACCTGTTGCTAAAGTTTGGTTCTGTTATGTCTGGAATGGATGTAATACAATCATAAACTTGAATGAAACAATCTGTAGTGTAGTTTCCTGAAATATTTGTGAAGCATATAGAAGAAATGAAGGAATAGTTTTTCATTAAAATTTGTTGCATTCATTTGGTAGAAAATAATATCAGATTGAAAGTGATTTAAATCCTGTTTCAAAATATAGCTTATGAAGTCACCCATTCTTCCCCCAGCAGTTATTCCTGATATACAAGAATATATGTATAAAGTTTTTCAACTTGCCCAGAAAATGCATTTCAACATGTTACAAAGCCAAAAGTATAATCCTATGAATGATTACCAAGACATAAACTATAACTCCAAAATGGACCTTGTCTTTGATAAGAATGTCAAAGTCTTAAGAGATGTCTTCTGAAAAATGTATGGTACTTCAGTTTTTAGAAAAACAACTTTTCTTGTTCATTCACTTTTAACCTAGCCACTTCTACAACTATTTATTTGTGATTTTGGTTGGTTATTTGGTTGGTTGGTCAGATACAGTTAGTTTTATGAACATTTTAAATTGAATTCTACACTTCTGTCAGTATCAACAACAAGCCAATTCAATCCTAAATTGCATTAACAGAGGGATACAATCAAGATCAAGTGAGGTACTAATACCACTCTATAAAGCCTTAGTAAGACCACACCTAGAGTACTGCATCCAGTTTTGATCACCACACTATAAAAAAGATGTTGAGACTCTAGAAAAAGTGCAGAGAAGAGCAACCAGGATGATGAGGGGACTGGAGACTAAAACATATGAAGAATGATTACAGGAACTGGGCTTGGCTGGTCTTGTGAAGAGAAGGACCAGGAGAAATATGATAGCAGTCTTCCAATATTTCAGGGGCTGCCACAGAGAGGAAGGGGTCAGCACCTGCAGGCCAGACAAGGAATAATGGATGGAAACTGAACAAGGAGAGATTTAATCTGGAAATAAGGAGAAATTTTCTGACAGTGAGAACAATCAACCATTATAGATTAACAGAGTTGGAAGGGACCTTGTTGGTCATCTAGTCCAACCCCCCGCCCAAGCAGGAGACCCTACACCATTTCTGACAAATGGCAGTCCAATCTCTTCTTGAAAGTCTCAAGTGATGAAGCTCCCACAACTTCCGAGGGCAAGCTGTTCCATTGATTGATTGTTCTCACTGTCAGAAAGTTTATCTTTGTTTCCAAGTTAAATCTCTTCTTGTTCAGTTTCCATCCATTATTCCTTGTCTGGCCTACAACCAATGGAACAGCTGGCCTTCGGAAGTTGTGGGCATTCATCACTTGAGACTTTCAAGAAGAGATTGGACTGCCATTTGTCAGAAATGGTGTAGAGTTTCCTGCTTGGGTGGGTGGGGGGTTGGACTAGATGACCTACAAGGTCCCTTCCAACTCTGTTAATCTGTACATGTAACATTAGAGAGCTAAGCTAATTTATTTCTGGCTCAGCTTAATGTAGCTGAAATTGCTAGAAATTTAGCAATACACCCACCCACCCATTTTTAATATGCTGTGATTCTAAGTTAGCAGAAATGATAAGATAATAACTAGTTTGAAGATAATCACAGATCACCTTCAAACTACTTATAAGGATTTGAGAAATGAAAATGGTGGTGGTGTGGAAGTCCTCTGTGTCACTGATAGCCTCACATATTTCCATCTGTCGATAATGTACTTTGCTTGGTCAGTTGATTATATCAATATGAAATCCAGCTTTAAACAATGTGAACAGAAAACTGGCAGTTCCAAGAGTGCATTGCAGATGACTTCAATTTAAAAAATGGAAATAGCATTGAACACTATCTCATGTTCCACTATTTCCTTTCTGGAAATCAGGTTCATTTTAATCCTAGTCTTGAGAGAGTGGCAATTTTCTCAAGTCATACAGCTGAAACAGATTCTGCAAATTGTGGGTGCTTATAAGGTTATAAACTCAGAAATCATGGAAAGAATAATTGCAGATGGAAAGACGTAGGGAAATCAGCAAAGATTAAGATGTTTGACATGAGAAGCTTAAAATAAAAAAACCAGAAATCATCACTGTGCACTTTTATTTCTAACCATAGCCTCTAGGATGATGCCAGCCTTGTTCTGTGATTTGTCCCCTTTTCCTCCTCCAGATGTCCAAATGGATTCTTCGGACAGAGATGTTTGGAGAAACTGCCTTTGCGATTGTACATGCCAGATCCTAAGCAAAGTATGTTTGAAGACAAAAATTATACCATCATACTACTTAAAAACCTCCTGGGTACAACACTGGATTTAGAGTTGCATAGTGAGGGTGTTCCTTTCAGTTAATATCTTAATTAAGGTTTAGGGAACACAGGTAAGGGACCAGCCAAAAACACACACCAGGAGAAATCTTAAAAGGGAACTCAGTTGGCATCAGAAAGGACCTCATTTCAGTCTGTTTGGATATCATGCTATCCTGTTTCTCTCTTTCTGGTTTTCTTTCTTTCGTTAGGTGTCCGAATGAATTCACAGGGGACCAGTGTCAGAACTTCGCAATGGCCAGCTTTTCCAGTATGTCTCTTTCCACTTCTCTCTTTCACTAATTGGTCTTAGCTGTATGATATTTTTAAAGCAAAATTTTAATGATTTGGAGTCTTCATTCTTCTGCTGTGTAGCTAAGGAGTTATTAAATTCAATTCTACTCTGAACATTATCATAGAGATGTATAGTCCAGGCATAATAAAAGACTGGACCAAGTTTAAAGTAAAGTGGCTTAAATTCTCCTAGATAGCTCAGGGGATTTTGGATGAAGAACACAGGTAGGGCCAACCTTGTACTAATCCACCTCATATGCTAGACCTGGAGGCACCTTAGAGTAATCTCAAATATAGATATCCTTATATGGAAGCTTTCTTTACGATTGCACAGAAACATATTGAATCAGATTGTTTGTGATATTAGCTTTTTCAGAAGGACAATTCATTATGAAACAAAGGGGTTTGTGTTTGTTCAGAAGACTTGGCTTATGGTTCAAATGTATGGCTTGTTCTTACAAAAATGTAGAGAAAATGAACCTTCCAATTCTCCACCACCAGAATTTCTTCAGTGGCTTGCACTCTAACTCAACTTCAGTTTCAGACTATTGTCTTTACAGAGTAGAGTGAAGATTAGGTTGAAGCATAGTGAATGTCACTGCTGCAGTGTTAAATTAAGCGCTGACTAACAGAATTTTATGTACAGATTTGCAAGATTTAGTCTAAGTAATTTCATGCCACCTGGAGAGATTTGGGGATCTTCTGTATCATCACCTCTATTGTTTACACATTTCTATCAAATTATTAAATATCAGGGAAGTTCCTAAGACATTTGTCCCCCCACATACTCTATTTTCAATTTAACATTTTTTTCCAATTTCATCAAATATAATTAAATCTGAATCCCTTTGTATAAATGCCAAACAAATTGTTATGAGAATCATGATATATGAAATCCCATTCTGTACAAATATGATTAATTACTTGATAAATATAACAGTTTGCAATAGTCACAAAAATAATAGTGTTGCCTTCCAAGCCAGGAAGATTTAGAAAAATCATTATTCTAATTTCATTTAAATGTTCTGCAGAGTATTAGTTGCTCTTGTAGCTATCTTAAAATAAATATTGTGAGAACCTGAGATCTCAGTACAACTTTTATCTTCTAGTGCCCTCTTGTGAATAAGGAAGCCTGTGAAGCAATATCTTCCAAGAGCAACTACAATACAGCATCCCTGATGTGTCCTCCAGCCTCATGAGAGAAAATATATAGTGATTTAGAGATGCTGTTTCTAATATTACCCAAATCATATAACTATAATACAATCTAATGGGCTATCTGTATTCATGTTGGAAGCACCTCCAAAGCTAACCAACTAAAGTGCTTCTGGATTGAAAGGATTTGCCAGTAACAACACTTTTGCCCAGGGGATGCCTGGTTGCCAAATGTAGTACAATCTTCAGGCAGGCTCCCTTCATGTCCCCCAACTCAGTGGTATAATATATGTGGTTATGTCCAGAAATTTTAAATAGTGCTGTTAATCAATAAAATTAGTAGGAATTGACACTTTAAATAACAAAAATGTTTTTAAAAAACAGAATCAGCAGCACTGATTTCATTCTTACAACTGTTATGATTGCTGGATTTTACTCTGCCCAGAATGAATCTCTTGGACCGTGAGTTGGGCAACATATAATATGACATACAGCAATTAAAAGCCAAAATTTAAAATCCCAACCGTCCTCCCTCACCCCATCATTGACAAATACAAACAAGGCACTTGATCAACGCCATAATTATAGATCAAATTCATATAGATGGAACCATATGAAACGAATGGAAACTAATCAAGAAGAAATCCAACCTAAAACATTTCCTGACAATGAGAACAATTACTGGTAATTAGTGGAACGGCTTGCCTTCAGAAGTTATGGGTGCTCCAACACTGGAGGTTTTTAAGAGATTGGACGGACAACCATTTGTCTGAAATGGTATAAGGTGTCCTGCTTGAGCAGAGGGTTGGACCAGAAAATCTCCAAGATCCCTTCCAACTCTGTTACTCTGTTATATCAAGGCAGGGTCCCCAAGCCCACTGACAGAAGCATGTCTACAGGGCACTTTGGAATAGTAAAGTTCCTTTGCAGTGAGACTCATAAAGCAAGCTTCACATACTGTTTTCAACCGAAGAGTCCAATCAATGTCCATCCACTGTTGATCATCAGTGGAGGTTTTCACATTATCCAGTCTTAGAAATTTCCCTTGGACATACTAATAACAATCTCTCCAAAATATGTATGCAATAAAAGGATAATTGGGTATCTATCAACTGCGGGGGGAACCAAATAGGAGAATGAAATACTTTTTTATCAAACGGGGGGGTGGCTGCACAAAGAATTTCTGAATATTGTACACTATGTTGAAGATGGAATGTTACATTTTTCTCTGTATAAATTGCTGTGGAATTTTTAAAAATGTAGTGCTTGGGATAACTGCTCTTTGAAAACTGACATCCAGCAGGTAATTCTCCTATAAAGAGCAGAAAATTAGAACTAGATCTAAAAATTAATAAGGAAGGTAAATTTTAATTGCCACATGCTATTTGAGTCTATATAATCTGTTTACTGTACACATGATTTAAAAGCTAAGGAAACTTTCCTAACATACAATTTCCAAAATTTCTGATATATGAATAAATTTATAAACAATTTAATCTTATTTTGGAAAAAAACAGAGGGATCTTTATACTTTGAAATAAAATGAATTAGATAGATTCTTGATAGGAAAGAATAGCACAATTTATCTTCATTATGGCTGTCCATCCCAGTGAGGCTTGCATAAGTTGTATTACTATTACCAATTGCATTTATCCAGTGGTTCACAAAATGTACTAAGCAGCAGTGCGGCTATTGTTAGTATCAGAAGAGGGTATTGTAAAGTTTTTTATTTTCCCAAATAAAAACAAAAACAAATGGAACTAGCAGAGATCTGAAAAGAAATGTAGCAGATATCTTTTGAGGAAGTGAAACAACTACACATTATAACTGAAATTACAATATGGTTTTAAAATGTCATTATACTATGAAAGAAAAATTCATAAAAATAACACAAAATGACAAAATGATTATTTGAACGGTTCCTATTTCTTTTTTCTCACACACATACAACATATACTACACAAACATAAATGACAGCATTCCTTCTCTCTCAATCTCTCCTACACCTCTTTCCCCTTTTGTTTCACTAACTTCAAGGTAGAAGTATTATGTAGACTCCAAAGCTGCTCTCTTCTTTGTGATCTTTTAATTAGCCCTTTCAAAGAGATTTGTTTTGGGGAACTGAGCATTGGGTTGGGTAATCTAGAATTTATAATTTTCCTTTATCTCTTTGGTATTTGTAGGCTGAGGCATTTATGCAATCATTTTAACTGAGATATGTTCTAATTAAATATTATAAGCTTAAATGTTGTATCTACGAATTCCTATTTATTTATTTAAATTTATTATGTCCACCCACAAGATTCTGAGCCAAATATACAATTAAAATTTAAAAAAGAACTAAGATATGGCAGCCTGGATTGAAAACAGTCCCGCCAATAAAACAACAGAGACTGTCCCCAGCCTGGGAAATGAGCCAGGCCTTGGGGGCTTTCCAGAACCCCAGAAGAATGGGTGCTGTCCCTATCTCTGAGGCCATGGTCTTTTGGAGAATGGGGCAAAGAAGGCGTGCTTTCTTGCTCTAATCAGAACACTTTCAATTGATGATTCCTGGAGGATACACACACTGCCCAAATGTAGTGGGCGGGGAGAACCAATGAGAGATAGATAGTTCCTCAGATAACCATGAAGGGCTTTATAGGTAATAACCAGCACCTTGAACTGTACCTGAAAGCCAATTGGCAACCAGGTCAGTTTGCAACACAGCTGTAACATGGGCATAAAGAAGAGTGACCGTTATTGCTTGTACCACTGCATTTTGAACAGCTCGTAGCTTCATGAGGGTCTTCAAGAGGAGCCTCACATAGACTATATTGCAATATCCTGTCATGAAGTGATTAGGGCATAGATGACCTTCTTAAGGGCCTTCCAGTCAAGGAAAGGGTGCAAGTGGTGCGGAAGATGAATCTGCGCAGATCTACCATTTGCTCATTGACAGTAGTTGCTGACCCAAGAAAACCTCCAAGAGGCAACCTCATCCAAGATCAATAGCTGAAATGTTCCCTGTTAAGGGGTGCCAAGCAGCCACAGCCATTCAGTTGTATCAGAATTGAGTCAAAGGTTGAACCTCCCCATCAGGACTTGAACTTTAACACATTGGGGTCAGTACACTGAAAACTTCACCCCTGCAATCTGGGGTGTAATGTTGCCTATCTGCTGGATCCCAAATGACAGATGAACTTACCTAATGGTTTCATATAGATTTTAGAGCTGCTTCTAATTCAGGGAGAATATTAATGATCTCTTTTTAAGACCAACTATGTCTCACTGACTTTGAGACAATTTATCTTCAAGTAAATACGTTTAAAATCTGATTGAAAAAATATTTTTCATAACATCCAATTTCTTATAATTTTGGCTTCAAAATAATAATGGGATTATTGTTGTTTTAAATGCTTTTATTTGTAATGCTGGTCTATGACCGTAATAGAAATTGATTGATTTGGCTTCAAATTAGTTTAAGTTATATTATTATTTCTGCATGTCACAGAAATTATTTGCAAGAATAATAAAGCTCTGCACTGCTTTAAAAATGTTTCAGAATAAATATGCAAGCACAGTATCTCTATGCTGAATCAGCTTTACTTTTTTTAGGCTCAAGGGCAAGCCTGAAAAAAGGATGCTGCAACTTTAAGAATCCTATTAAGGAGTGGACTATTAAAACAGCTATTTTCAAGGTTACATAGAAACCTTAAAAAGTTGGGCTGCCTATGTAAATAGCCAAGAGTTTCTGTGCTCATACACAATCTGAGGTATTTATTCTGAATCCCTTTTGAAGGTGCATAGACTCAAAGAATACTTAACAAGAAAGAAATTTTACTGTAGAAAGATTCTTGACCTGTGTGTGTGCATCTGTGCTATTTTTGTTCTTTTGCTAACAATATTGTTTTCTTTTGATACTGCCCCCTGGTTGTTGATAAGCCAAAAGCAAGCTATTCTAAATAGTTTTTAATAAATTCTATGCTTGATGTTTCTTTTAACATTGGAAAACTTCTCTTACAAATATATTTATCTTCTCTTTTTCTTCTTTTTTCTGTATTGGCAGAGCATCTTGGATTAGAGTTAAAGGGTATGAAACAAACCATTCATTTGTTAAACAGACACCACAGTTCTTCACATTATGTTTTTACAGTTTTTGTAGGGTGACCAAGAATATCAGCTCTTCATCTCTTATTTTGGCCCAGTTTGGGGAAAAATCATATATATGCATATGCATATGTATATGCATGTGCATATACAGTATACATATGCAGTCAAAAGCCAGTTTATCTATATTAATATGAATATAGATAACTCTGCCTGGGTGCACTGCAGCACTTTTCTGTGGGGTTCAGTGAGACTAGAAGTAAAGTGCTGGCTCAGTAGCACTTCTGTGCTGTTTTAGTCTGTGCTTTTTGGAGATTAAAAAAATTACCTAGGTCAGTTTGGAAAATCACAGACATGTATAGGAGTAATAGTGTATACAAATCCTAGTAAATGACAGATTTGTACTAAAAAAAAGTTATAGCAATTCTACAAAACCAACCAAAGTCAAATTTAAAACCATTCCTTCTCATCTCATTTAATTTCATGCTGATTTGGGTGTATTTCTTTTAAAAAGATTGACCCAGCCGCAAAACAATATTGCAGCATCCCCCTTTGGATCAGCAGAATGTGTATTGCTCCAATTTGCTTCTTCCTCCAAAAGATTTTATATTAGTAAAAGGGGAAATTGCAGTACCTCCATTTTATATACCCTCAATGTTTTCTCTTTAGACTGAATGAGGGCAAGACTGCAAGAGAAGGGCAGTAGAAATAGCAAGTACTTTAAGATGTACAAGTTAAATCTTTGATTTCCAAGCACATAGACTTCTACATGAAGAAACATGAAGAATATTCCCAACTCCAATGCAGTAATATAATCCAACAGTGCACAACTTCAGGCTTCTATAGGAATGTTCATAAAAGAGCACTTATGCCTTCAATGTGTGTGAATGGAAAAAAAGCCAAAAACCATACATGCCCTGGCTACATTAATGAGGGGGAATTGCTTGTATTTGAATCTCAGTGATAACTGTTCCAATGGGGTAGGAAAATGCTACCTATGAACCCCTGTGCATAATGTGAAATACTTTCTCAGTAGTGCAGAATGCATGATTGCCAGGTGCAACACATTGCCCTGCAGAGCAAGTAGTTAGAGAAAAAAGGGCAGCCTAAAGGGTCCCACCTGATCCCCCTCATAGGCTTTCTTCCAGGAGTAGTAACACTGCCACTTGATGACCAATCACTATGCATGGTGCTCTCATTGGTCTCCAAAGTGACCCATTGTGATGTGGCCACTGCAAGCACCACACATCAAACTATTAGAAAACATAGCCTCCCACAGCTCCTGTTTTATTGGTAGATCCAATGCCCGGAATGGCTACTTCATTGCACCAAGTTAGGGGAAGACACATTGTCAGTGAATTAATTTTAAGTCACTTTTCATGTATTCATCGAATGCATGTTTTATTCATTTGTCCTTTTTCCTATTCCGTATAATTCCATGCCACTGGAATTACTATCTTTAAAAAACAAAATCTGGTGGAAATTCGCAGCATAGGGAGGCACCAATTCTGGTCTAAATATCTTACTCCTTTCTAACTGAAAATTGAAGTTCACAGTTTCCTAATTAAAAATTATTAGTTTCAAGAGGAAACCAATGCCTTTACACAAATTAACAGCTAAATGCACACACATATAACAAAGCTTGTTTATGTTCAGGAATCATTCTTAGGAATAGCACAGTACTGCCTTTCTTAGCCCCTGGGCTTTTCTGTTTTTCCATATGAAGGTGAGTTACAGTTGTTTATCATTGATGCTGGGTCAGCCACTTTCATTCTCACCTATTAAAATTTATCTGTTCCTTCTGCCAGTGGGCATCATTCTTGCACCTCTGAATGGCTGAGTTCAGCAAGGTGATTTCCAGACATTTGAGATTTGGAAGGAGAGCATTAGGGAGGAAAGGCAGTGGTTTGACTCCCAGAAGCTTCCACTTGCCCAACTAGTGGATGGGTAGGAGAGAGGAAGAGAAAGTCAATAGTGCCCTCTCCTACCAAAATGTGTACGATGATGGTTCTGATGGAATCATCCTGATTCTTACAGGAAAGTTGCTACAGCATTTAGTAGTGCTAATTCCAAACTGACCTATGAGAATATAATATTTTTCATGCATTGTCTTCATGTTCTTTGTGATGGAAACCATTTTTCCACTTCCATTTATTTTTGTTCCTAGGAATGCTAGTTTCCTATTTTATTTGCTGTATGACAAAAAATTTACACATTAAAGAATAATTGTGCCAGTAGCAGCTTGTGTATCAGATTTATGCTACCACACTTGCCATGCTTATCTAGGAATATGTCTCACTGAATTCAGTGAGATCTGTTTTTAATAGATAAATTTGACCGGAAATTATAAAACCTTCCCAGGAGCAAATTTTGAATAAATGAAAAGCATAATGTGGAAAGTGGCCTTGAATTGACATTACTATTGATTCAAAAACATTCTAACTTGCTATTTTGAATTGAGGATTTTTGACATCCATTCCTGACTTACGTTTTGTTTCGCTTTATTTAAAAATCTCTTTCTTTCTAGGCTGATCGTTGTGCCAATAAACCTATTTTGCCATGCTGTCTCTTCTTTTTTTCATACGTTCTGCCAGCCATGTATTTCCTGTGATGCTCGTGAATGACACTATGTCACATGTGCTGGTTTGCACTTAATATTTTATCATAGAATGATAATTTGTGATATGCATTCAAAAATACCACAGATATATCACATGAACAATTGTATTATCCCAATGTCTTATAATTAAGTAAATTTTGATTTGCATTGTCTTGTGTTCTTTTGTAATTCTTCTGTAAGGTTCATATAAAGGTTTATATAAATATATATGTATAGTATTATTTACTTATTGCAAAGCAAAGTGATAAATTTCTTTCCATCTAAGCAATATATTTTGTTGTATGAAAGTATCACAATTATATACTGACAGAATCATCAGTAATGAGATTTAATTGTGAATCTTGGTTGGAAATGGTTGAATATTGAAATGTTTTGCAGTTCTCAAATGGAAGTTTGATCAGTCCAAGTAACTCTGCTATGATAAATGACCAGGAGAATCATAGCACAGTTTGGCAGCTGTTTTTGAAATGAAGTTTTCCCACTTTGAAAAATAAAAAATTAGAAATCATGGCGAAGATGGATAACTAATGCACATTGCAACTGAAATGAGGCAGATAGATTTCAAAACAGAAATAAGAAAGATAGGAGTATTGAGGGCTTTTCAGTTTCATTGAAAAGCAGAACAAACTATTTTCTGAACTTGAAGACTAGATTTGTAATTTCTTAATGCACTCACATTTCAAGAGTTGAAATCCATACCCAGTAATTTTGACCATTGAAATATAAACATGTTGAGGCTTCTGTGATTGAAATGTAGCACAATTGTTTCCAGGTACTTTCTTATCAGAGGTTAAAAGCAACTGTTCCTTTAATAGAGTTTGAAATGGGGCCTCTGGGTGCTCTTTTGAGCTGGTATAGATCAGAGACATATGATCTGATCGGTTTTTGTTTGTTTGCTTCAGAAGGTGAAGCTTTTCAGGATCTGGGTGCAGCAGGGGAACTATTTTTTCTTACTCTACATTTTTATTTATTGTCTTAATCCCAATCCTATGTTCTTTACATATAACATAGTTATAACCCTTATGAAGGAGTACAGGAACTTTAGGTTGTTCAGCTGATCTTAAGAAAAAAAATGATTCAGGATTAATGATTGAACGAAAGAGGCAATATTCAACCCTGTATTCCTTGAGTGATTCCTTCATGTACTGCACAATGAGGTGCCTCATTCTGAGACACACAAAAAAGGAGGTAGCTTAGTGGAAGATTAACCAAGAATCTATTAGTCTAGACCAGGGCTTCTCAACCATTTTTTTCTCGTGACCTTCTGAGATTCATATACTCCTGGGTAACTGCATCATAAATCACTGTTAGTTGGAAATATGGCATGGGCCTATGACCCATGTTCAGAAGCACTATTTAGGGAGGGAAGGGCACTAGAAATACAAGAACATATATTATGACTGGATCTATAAGAACTTTCTTTATAAAAGAAAACACAGAAAGAGATAGATGATTCCAGACAGAGCACCTTTGATAGAGAAGTTAGAGGATGCTACATATCTAGTAAGATTGGCTATCCCGTCAGGGACAAAAGACCCAACCTCTCAGAGGCCCCATCTCATCCACCTTATAACAACCCAGAGAAAAGGAGATGGTATTTGCTACAGAGATGAATTGAAGGAAGACGACCAGTTTCAGAGAATATGATAGCAGGGTAACTTGGAATGTCCATACTTAGTGAATGGGACCTCTAATGTGAATGAACAGAGTCTTATAAGAGTGGTATCACTTTGAAACACAAGTCCCCAAACTCGCAACGTTCAGGGATGCTCCAAAAGTATAATATGGATGATGGTATCAAATGGAACTGAGAAGTTGAAAAGAACTGGTGATGGTACACTTTCAAATTAACATCATCAAGCAGGTGCCATTTCTATACCATACCTGGACTTGAATCCAAACTGAAAAGGGTCCAGATATTCTTCAAGAACACTCTGTAGCTGAGGTAGCTATACCACTACCTTTTTAATAACCTAAAACTGTTGGGTTCAGGGAGGATTTTTGAGAATGGAACATACCTCTGCCTCCTTCAACATCTTTTCCCTCAAAGAAACATTGACCATGTCCCACACCAGCCTGTCATTCATAGCTCACAGCCCAAATCAGCCATGAAGGTCATGGGTCAGGTCCAGCAGTGGTAGCATTCATCTTCACCAGATTACACAAGCTGAATAATACTGATAATACTGTAAATCCTTTGCTCAGAGTACCATTTAACATTCTGTTTGCAGAATGTCAAAAGTATGGTCAATGTTTATTTGTCCAATTTAGAAACCATCTGTCTCCATCACAGAGAGACTCTTAGGAGTCTACAAGTATCAGTAACTTTGTCAACAAAAACTTATATTGTAATGATAGGGCACAATGACTAAGTGGCGTATTTCCCTCCCATCTTCCTTAACAGGAAACAGGTAATTTTAAACAAGGCTACTGGATGGCAACTTATTGGTGTAATAAGAGCAGAGCAGACCAAATGCTTTATTGCTTTTATCACCATGTAGGTTCAAAGAAGAGAGTGCATCTTTGCTGGGTCATATTTTCTTTTTACCGTTCTCCACTTACTCTAGTCATTGCTTTTCCATTTACCAGAGATCCTGAGTAAACCAAAGAGCCCCTGAGACCAGACTACTGAGTGAAATCACATCAAGTCTTTGGCTGCTTCCCAGGTCCTAGAGACCACAAGATAATGGAACAACCGCTTAAGTCATTAGGGAATTTTACAAATTTCCTCTGGTATCCATCTGGATCTATTACACATCTGGAATGGACCATCTTAATAAGTCCATGAAGCAATAGAGACAAATTTCATTTGGATCAGGAAGTGATCTGATGACAATAAAGATCTCAGTTTGATGTCTTTCATATCCAAATCATACAGTTGATCAGAAGTACAGTAAGTTCACATTGTGATTGGGCAAGATATTATTTGGGGCAAGCCTTGATAATCACTTTGGCCCTTCCAGACTATTTCCTCCCAGCATATAGAAATTGAATTCCTCTGCACCAGTAGCCAAGGAAAGTCTAAAACCAGTCTGGCAACAAGCTCCAGACCCACTAGAAAGAATCTTTCTGGGCAGCAGAATGGCTAATGGGTAAGTAACCCTCACTTTTCCATAATGCCCAAGTTAACACACATTACAGTTAAGAGCTGTGGTGGCGCAGTGGTTAGAATGCAGTACTGCAGACTATGACTGCCGGCTGACTGCAGTTTGCCAGTTCAAATCTCATCAGGCTTAAGGTTGACTCAGCCTTCCATCCTTTTGAGGTCAGTAAAATGAGGACCCAAATTGTTGGGGGCTATATACTGACTCTGTAAATTGCTTAGAGAAGGCTATAAAGCACTTATATAAGTCTTAAGTGCTATTGCTATACCCTCCCATTCCTGCAAGAAAGTCCCCTGATCATAAGCACAAAATCCATCCCAATTATTGCTGCTAAGCAACCCAAAATTTGGAAGAGCACAGTTATAAGGCAGTTGTTGGCCTCCCTTCTCCTGCCTGACAAATTCCCCCCTCCTAAAATGTCTCCCATGACTGGGGGGGGGGGGGGGAGCACTAAAATTTTCTTTCTCTCTTCCTCCTATACAAAGTCAATAGCAAGTCCTCTAGACAGGATTATCATGTCCTAGGAGCTACCCTTTCCCACACCAGCCCTATGCTCACTTGGGCTGCAGAGGATCTGGATCTCCTCTATTTTTTCATTCCAGAGCAACCATTCATCAATAACTTTTGCTTCTCTCTTGAGAATATATTAATCTACAGCAATCTGACTAGATATTATCAATTTGACAAGATTTCTCCCCTCCCCCCAGATTTTTCACCATGGCAACAATTCCCTCTCTTCCCCAGCCATGGCAACTGAAAGAATAGCTGTGAGATATTTCCATTAATCTCCAAAGGAATGCCTTTGTGGTACATGAAGGTTGAAATATAGTAAAATTGCCAGAACAGAATATGGCTAACGGTCCATAATATAACCAAAACAAAATAAGGTTTTAAGACTTCCAAGAAATATCTTACAGATTACCAGAATTGGAAGGGACCTTGTAGGTCATCTAGTCCAACCCCCCACCCAAGCAGGAGATCCTACACCATTTCTGACAAATGGCAGTCCAATCTCTTCTTGAAAGTCTCAAGCTCCTACAACTTCTGAGGGCAAGCTGTTCCATTGGTTGATTGTTCTCACTGTCAGAAAGTTTCTCCTTGTTTCCAAGTTAAATCTCTCCTTGTTCAGTTTCCATCCATTATTCCTTGTCTGGCCTACAGGCCCTTTAGAAAATAGCTTGACCCCTTCCTCCCTGTGGCAGCCCCTCCAATATTGGAAGACTGCTATCATGTCTCCCCTGGTCCTTCTCTTTACTAGACAAGCCATGCCCAGTTCCTGTAACCGTTCTTCATATGTTTTAGTCTCCAGTCCCCTAATCATCCTGGTTGCTCTTCTCTGCACTTTTTCTAGAGTCTCAACATCTTTTTTATAGTGTGGTGACCAAAACTGGATGCAGTACTCTAGGTGTGGTCTTACTAAGGCCTTATAGAATGGTATTAGTACCTCGTTTGATCTTGATTGTATCCCTCTGTTAATGCAATTTAGGATTGCATTAGCTTTTTTAGTTGCCGCTGCACATTAGCTGGCTGTCCATTAAGACTCCAAGATCCCTCTCACAGTTACTGCTATTAAGCCTGGTTTCACCCAGTCTATATGTGTACTTTTGGTTTTTCTTGCCTGAGTGTAGGACCTTACTTTTCTCTAATTGAATTTTATTTGGTTAGATTGGGCCCAGTGTTCAAGTCTGTCAAGATCCATCTGGTTCTTGAGCCTATCTTCTTGGGTGTTAGCTATTTCTGCCAACTTAGTATCATCCGCAAATTTGGTAAGTTCCCCTTCTATTTCCTCATCTAAGTCATATATTGAAGAGTACTGGGCCTACCTTGTGGTACCCCACTGCTTACTTCCCTCCATGTAGACTTAAGACCCATTAGGGACTACTCTTTGAGTATGGGTTGTCAGTCAGTTGCGAATCCATCTGGTGGTGACAGTATCATTCCCACTTTTTTCTAGCTTACGAAGAAGTAGGTTATGATCTACTTTGTCGAATGCCTGGCTGAAGTCTAGGTATATTATGTCCTTAGTATCTTCCCTTTTTTTCACCTCAAAGCAATAATCAATAGAAGTCTTCCTGATGGAGTGTAATTAAATAGAACATAGTGAGCAGAGAAAACCACAGAAGTTATGAAATGTCTTCCAGTTGCTTAAAAATTACTAAGAGGTACTGACATAAAAATATGAACTATAGCAATCATCATCAGCTATGACAGTGGAGTATCATAGAACAAAACAATGTCTTGCCCACAGAGCCTTACTGACAACCCAGAACAACATATGGTGCTTGCAGGATTTAAAAGTGGAAAACACTCCTCTGATTGCTCATCTGCACTTAAGTTAATTTTGCTTCAAAGACTCAGGACTTTTATAAAGCATTTCCAATATATAACAATGTGGGATATTTTGACTGATTCTCTAACACAGATTTCTTCTATCTGGGAGAATTAGGGATGGCAGAGTGGCACAAGATTAAAGAAGTCTGCTTTAATTAATTATGAAAGAAGAGTAATCACATTTTTTCCAGATGGATTTAAGAATAGTCAGAATAAATTAATATTCTTACGTACCAATCACATATTTGCAATGCATTCCTATACATATATACTCAAAGTAGTTCCCATGAATTGACTATATAAAATAAAAACAACTGACATAATATAGAATCAATTTACAAAGTTGCATCTAAAGAAACATAATTTAGGAGAATATGTAAGAGTGAAATTACAGATGTAATATGATTTTATTTTAACAGTTGTCTATGTTTGAAATGCTATCATGTAGCAATTTGTTCCACTTGCTGCATAAGATTTGGGAGCAGTATTGGCAGCAGGCAGCAAATACTAGAGCAGAGTAGAGCTGGGGTAAAAGAGAAGTCTTGTTTTCTTTTTCCAGTTGTCATTTCCAGTACTTGCATTTAATTTATGTATACTGGAATATTTCAACATGTCAAAACAATTTTAAAAAAGGCACTAAAAATTAGTTTAAGACTTTTTTTTTCTTTACTTGGTTCTAACTTTCCACTGAATATTAATTTTCTCAATATAAGATAGGGTTTCCTTTTAGATTCTGAATGCCAATACTGTTCTATTTGTATAGATATGTCCAAATACTGGAGCTTATTCATAGTGCAGCATAATAATTCATAACACTATAAGCAGGAATCCCATGATTACATGCTAATCTTGCTAGTAGTTCATATAGCTTTTATGGGCAAGAACATTAACAGAGAAATGGAGTTCACCCTGCTTTCAAACATACACTGTTGAGGTTTAAAAATGGACTGCTTACATAAGAATATTTGGATATTCAATTCTCCCAGACGCTTTACTTCCACCTTCAATGGGAGGATGTGGTAATGCTTGCCTTGTTGATTGTTAAGCTTATCAAATTTACTAGTATTGCCTTCTCCTTGGTGCAAGCCTAAGAAAATTCCTTAAAAGGAACCCCATTTTTGATGCAGAAGCAAAGGCGAGAGGGTTGATGGATGGATGGATGAACAACCCCCGTTTCCTAATTTATACTATACATTTTTTTCTCTTCTGCAGCCATAAGAACTCTGTAATATGGATTTACACATAATATTTAATTATGCCTTCAGATAGAGTTCTGTAGGTTGTTAAGAGAAGGTGAGAAAGGTAAATGTGATAATCTATTGATACGTTTACAGAATTATGTTTAATTCAGGTACCCTCTATATTTTGGCTATGTGTGTGTGTGTGTGTGTGTGTGTATGTGGAGAGAGAGAGAGAGAGAGAGAGAGAGAGAGAGAGGATACAAAGGGGGGGTACAAAAGTGGTACATTCTAAATAAAATATATTTAATTTAATTTCACTTATTTACAGTAAAAAATACATATACAAAAGAATTTGACAATTGCACACAGGCAACTGCAAGATGTAACAAACTTTAAAAATGATAGCACCTTCTCTTTTAAGAATTATGTTTGATGCATAGTACAGTCACAAAGCCTCTAATTCATAGAATATACCCAGAATGTGAAATATGGATTGTATTGTCTACACAGCTGACATTCTCAGATCACTTGTAAACCATTCCTACAGCTTAGTAGGTGTTCACAGTTCTCATTTTTGCTGCCTTCTAAAATAGTATCTAAGGGAACTCTCAAACTCTGCTGCTGTTTCAGATGGAGATTAGTGGAAAATCAGCTTCTTGGGCTTCTCAATTTCTTGGCCTCATCCAACCAATTATTGTATGCAGGCAGTAATTCAGTGTAATTTGAATTTAATGCCAAAAACATATTGCTAGCTGACATCAACTAATTAGTTAATTAGTCAAAGATCTTCAACAAAGAACATGTGGAGTACAGTAAACATTTGCAAGTTGCTGTAGTTTAAATGCTAGGAAGTTAAGCATAAATTTCAAAATGTAATTCTTGAGAAATGGTTGGAATTACTATATTATTGTAGCTTTCATCCTTAGCCCTCCAAATTATTTTAATAAGATGATACTGATGGTAATCAGAATGTTGTTACTAAAAGATACCAATACCATCAGGGAGACCATTCTTCAAAACAACCAGCTACCTCTTTGTCATATTTTAGATTTTCAAGAACACCTTGTCAGAGAGATTATATATTGTGTCATAACACATATTTATACAAATACATAGTGTGGATCTTTAAATAGTCATTACATCATCACCTAAATATAATAGAGGCCCCCAAATCGGCAGTTTTAAAGTGACATTGAAATTTGAAGAATTACAACGTATGTATGTATGTATGTATGTATGTATGTATGTATGTATATGTTTTCATAGATTTTCATGGGTACAGGTATGCAGGTGTGGGGTGTTCAGGTCTTTTCCCGCTGAAGATTGAGAGTATCTTGGTAATGTTTTGACGAGGTCCCACTTGCCATCTTCAGGCTGGTGCTTTCAGCTTCATGCTTGTGTGAGCAAGCATCCTAATTTACAAAAAACCCAATGGCTCCCTAGGACACACCATCCACCGGAAGGAAACACACACCAACTGCTACTTAAATGCACAATCCCATCACCACCCTGCACAGATCAACTCCGTAGCCAAGACCCTCATCTCCAGAACCAAATGCCTAGCTGACAAAGACCACCTGAGAACAGAATTACACACCCTCACTGACGTATTAATTTCCAACAGATTCCAAAGAAACACAATTACCAACCTAATCCTAAAGGAGACACCCCCCAGAAACCCAGACACAGAACAGGACAATGGTATCATCCTCCTCCCCTACATCAGATGCACCACAGATAAAATCAGCAAAATTCTCCACAGGCACAATATCAGGACAGCTTTTGGCACTGACCAAAAAATAGCCAACATCCTGAGAAACCCCAAAGTCAAGATCCAGCTAGAAAACCAAGGAGTTTATGAAATGCCATGCAACAATTGCCCAGCCACATACATTGGACAAACACAAGAGTGCAGTCAGAAAAGAAGAAAATACTTCCTCCCCTTTTCCGGCACCTTAAAGCCACAGGACATGAAATTAATTTTGAGGGAACCAAATTAATCTCCAATACTGAACACTTCAACAAGAGAATAATCAGGGAAGCCATCGAAATAGAGTAACACCCCCATAACATGAATAAACGGGATGATACCTCCCGCCTACCAGACATCTGGAAACTAGCCCTTATCAACAAACGAGTCCCAGCCAGGTAAACCAACTCCGGACCCAAAACAACAGATGACACCACCACCATTCTCCCCCACCAGACTCAAACCCAAACCCACCCCATAGATGAAAGGCAACCACCGTCCAGAAACCAGACCACGGTTGCATCATTAGCTGCCACACACACCGACCCCCAAACCAAGCAAACTGACACATGCCATGCAGGCCTCAAACTCGGAGCCAAACCAAAACCCGGAACGTCACATCATAGCCACCTGCTCAGCATATCAAACCCCGGACTCAGGAGGTTACACCACAAAACCTCAGGATGTCACAACACAGCCAAAAACCCAGGAGATTACAGCACGACCCAGGATGTCAAAACAATAGAACTCAGAAGGTCATCACACAGCCCATTACCCAGGTCGTTACAACACAGGAGGTGGATAGACACACAGCCAATACCTCAGCCACACATGTTCTTAGAAAAAAGCCAGCCAATCTGCAAACATCAACTCCATCAACCAATCAAGAACTGACAACACAGCCAACCTCCCCACCAGTATATATAGGGAGACGGCAGCTCCGATCACACTTTGCTCACACAAGCACGAAGCTGAAAGCACCAGCCTGAAGATGGTGAGTGGGACCTCGTCGAAACGTTGCCAAGATACTCTCAATCTTACACGGGAAAGCAAAAATCCTTTCTAAATGGGTAAATGCTGAGGAGCACACTGTACATTTTGTATCAGGTCCCACTTGTTTATATTGAATTGTGGAAACTGTACTGATTAAAATAGGTAAACAAATAAAAGGTCTAGGTCTAGAAGAATAAAAGCATCTTTTCTTAGCACGAAGCTAGCCTATGAAATCAGAAATCTGTACCTAGGAAACTAGCGTAACAATTCTTTCTGCCTATATCTGTAGTAATTGGGATATCTGGGGCTATCCAGTGGGAACATTATTGCACAAATCTGGTTCACATAGTCACAGGTAACCTGGTCCCATAGTCTCAGAGCAGGAATTGGGTAGATGTTTCAACACAAACTAAATATATTTCAACAGTTGCTCTCATCTAGAATTTTGACTTTATTTATTTGCTTCTTTATTTACTTTTAAACTAATTTTTCTTTCTGGCCTTGTAGAGCAGTTAGATATAAAGAGGGGGCTGCTTTAATGAATCACAAAGAATTGCTAATTCTTGCAGTTGTATATTATCTGAAGTACTTCTTCCAAATCATTTTCAAAAATGCTACCCATTACCCAGGAACAGTAAAGGAATTAATTGTCACGGATTATCAAGCCCTTTGAGGCAGACAAATTTGGGAAACAAGAACCACTTGGACTCTGGAATAATCTTTATTGCTAATAGACTAATATAATAGAATCTTGAAAGCCTGCCAAAGCAATTAACCTGAACGTATACCTAACATAACTAAGATGGAGTTACTTTGAGGCTCTTTTTCATGCTTCTCCCCTCTCCTGGACTAAGGAATGTTTTCTCTAACAGTCCTCCCTCTTTATTCCCAGGATTTGCTAGGCATTCCATCACAATGAGTTTGGTATTCTAGAAAATTGGCAGGAACTTTATAAACAACCAGAAGATATAAAGCAGGGGTGTCAAACTCATGCTGTCATGGTGACGTCACGTGACGTATCGGAACTTTTTCCCCCTTCCCTAAACGGGGCATGGGTGTGGCCAGCGCATGACGCATCTGGCCTGCAGGCCAGGAGTTTGACAGCCCTGAAATAAAGGATTCTATCTCATCAATGTCTTTAATTAGCTTAACTTGTTTCCTTCCTCACCTCATCCACCAGGAGAGTCACTAATATATTTTCCTCCCTTGTCTTCAGAGCAAAAATAGAGATGCATATTTTAATAGCATATATTCTGCATGCACTTCTACTATGTTGGGATTACATTGGGTGCCACATGATTTCTCATATGGCCCCCTCCCTCTCTCATTTGATTAGAACAACAAAGAAAAATATTAAAATAGGCAGCGATGTATAGTCTCTTCCGTTTACTGTGAACGTGGATTCTGTGCCAGAAAGTGGCATTAAGTAGGGGACATTAAATTGAGCTCAGAGTGGGCAGAGTAGAGGAAAAATGTCTTTTGGTTGCTGAATCAAAAATTGGATCTCAACAAATATGTTCGTTGTAGTGCAATATACAATAATTTTTCTGTAATATCTTTGCCAAATACATAGGAAACAGCAATTGAATACTTCTAAGAAGTTCTAGAAAATATTCCCAATACAGTATGAGGTTACTGAAAATCACACAGGAGAAGGTTCAGAAAAAAGGCCAGAGTAGCTTTTTCTTGTTTTGATTTTACAGGAACTAGAATGGAAAGGAAAGGTTTGGATAGAAGTCGAGAAGAGCATCAATATTAAAACAGATATAAAACTCTACATCCTATCTCAGGAAAATAAGTAGAATAGCTTCCAATTTCCACCATGGAATTGTAGTTGTATCTTCAGAATGCAATCATAATTTGAGAAAAAATGTAATTGTTAATGATTTTTATGTCCTTTGCAGAAGCCGAGGAGCTGTATCAGAAGAGAGTTCTAACCATTACTGGAATTTGTGTTGCATTGCTTGTTGTGGGAATAGTATGTGTAGTAGCTTACTGTAAAACCAAGTGAGTGATTTTATTTATTAATTTTAAAATTAATTTTAATGCAATAAACACAATAAAAGGAAAAAAGAAGGGAAAGACCTAAAAAAGAAAAAAGAGAAAGGGAATTAAAACAATTTGGAAATACACCGGCATAGTTTATAAGCAATCTCAATCTTATGATTAAATGATTAAAATGGATTAAAAGTTACTTTAATTGCTCAGTGGTTTAAGAATTAAAGAAAATTAAATTTTAGTTTTTTAATATCTTGCAACAGAAAATTTGTTAGCTAACAAAAATAAATTCATATTTCATGTGGAACTGACATACTGTATATTTTGGAAATACAAGCAACAAATAAGTGGTAAAATTATTTGGTAAATATGGTTGGATTATTAAGTAAAATCACAAGAAATGTAACAATTCGTTTATAGTCATTCCAATGCAACTTATAAAAGTTTATAGTCATTCCAATGCAACTTATAAAAGTTCCAATGAAATAATACAGTTTAAGAGGAATATAGTACTATGACTGTCTTTATTACATTTCTTCATGAGTTACCAAACAGTTTTTGAAACAAATGTTATTCTGGTGAGAATTCTAAGTTCATAACCTAATTTTTTTAGGCTTTCAGAAGGAACAATGTCTTTATTTTATTAAACAAACTGATGGAGTTGCCTATCCACAAGAAGGAACTGGGAGGTGAACAAAATAAAAACACAGTATACTAAAAAATTATAATAATTAAACACAATGACATCCCTAATAAAACTCACATTCATCCATCAACCACTCCATCAATCTCCTAGTCCCTGTGCCTGGAAGAAAAACCACCTCTTTATCCCCTTTCCTGAAGGCCAATAGGGTCAGGTTAGGACAATCCATATATCTTGGGGGAGGCTGTTCCATAAAGCAGGCACATGATAAAGAAAGCAGTTGTATCTGGTCTGAATGTTACAAAATATTGAAATTGTGTCTACAATGTAGGATTCCTTCTTTGAATATTAATGAAGACTGTAGTTTATGAGATTTGATGAGCTTTAAAATTACGCCTTTTCTTTATATAATTAATTGAAAATTTGTATGATTTTTATAATTGCAGTGTTGATTAACCTAAAAATACCAAGATTTGAGAAAGGTACCACTCACATTTTAAGTCAAATGTATGTACTTTGAACTTCCTAATCCACTAAACCCTCTGATGAACAATTATATATACTTCTTCCCAGGAAAACACATCACAGACTTCTATTGAAATTAAATTACGAATTGTATTTGGAAAAATCAGAAAAGCAATAAAAGGAACTTATACACCATTTTAACAACAGTTTAGTGGTTAAGGCAACAGGCTAGAAAGCAGGAGACCATGAGTTCAAGTCCTGCCTTAGCTATGAAAGCCAGTTGGGTGACTTTGGGCCAGTCACTCTCTCTCAGCTCAACCCACCTCACATGGTTGCTTTTGTGGAGAAAATAAGGCAAAGAAGGTCTAATGGATATTTCCACCACCTTGAGTTATTTGCAAAACATAATAAAGGTGGATTACAAATAAATATACTACACAAGATATGGGAAGAAAACAGAGATTAAAAGGGAAAGATCTTTGGATCTATATGATACTTTCTTTTTCACCTCAGAAGTAATGATATCACAGTCACAGAACCTGTATCAGAAAGAGCACTTTTGTATTCTTACATAATCCCCTACCAAATATGTTAAATAGTTAAATCAGTTTGACTCTTGGAAATTAACAATTGCAAAATACAGTGCATCTATCATAATAAACTAAATTAAAACCCATAATACATGAAAATTAGGTTAAAACAAATTAAGGAAAACAGCAATTTGAATATTAATCCCATAATGACTGTTTTACACAGTTAAGATCATTGCCCTCCAAAAGTCCTCTAGAAGAGCTCCATTCTTAACAATTCCTAAAAGGTTAAGAACAAAGAAGGAAATCTACTCTTGGGAGGGAGACTGCTCCACAAAGCAAATGTTCCCATTCAGAACATTTAGACGGTCAAACATTCTTGAGAAAAAAAATGCACTCAGTTTTCAGTGCTGATATTCCAAATTTCACAAATATGTAAGAAAGTCAGGCAGAGAGGAGGAGAAAGATAGTTTAGGACACATTTTTAAATGTTCAGAAGAATTGGCTATTAATATTAACTTCAAAGGAAATTAAATAATAGTTTCTTGCCATACGGTATTAATATTCAGTGGAAATATAAAAGAATGAAGTATTTACGACCCAGTTTTTAAATTCTTGTGGTTAACAAATGAATTAATCAGTCTTACAGAAAAGGATATTATACTCTCTCATCATATCAAAGATCTTAGGAATGGTTGCAATTATAACAATTTGCTTCCGAATTATTTTAACTTTTTAACAATGAATTCCCCTCTTATCAATAAATAGTAACAGATAATTTCAAGATTATCAATCCAAGTTGTGAATTCATTGATATTTGTAAAACTAATTACAGTTCAATGTCATGCCCTTAATATAGAGATATTAAATGTAGTAAAATAATCTTATTTTCAGGTCTGAAAAAAAAATTAGATTTACTTTGCTCCATCCATTAATTTATTTACTTAAAGAAATTCTGTTATTTCCCAAAGATTGTTTTAAAATTTTCTGTATGATTCAAAAAGTTTTAAGTGCCGGTTATTTCCTAATGACTTAATTTCATACATGAAATGTGTAATTTAACCCTATGTTACCTGACTGATCATCATTTCATTCTTTCTGTACTAAATATGATTTCATATAGAGAACTAAGCATACACATTGATAGGAAACATCTTCTGTTTCAGTATTTTCAGAACACAACATTGTGATATAACTTTTACCTAATTAGAAATAGTGGTGAAACATGACTAAATTTGAAATGCAAATGTCAACTCTTCTAACTAGATATATTAGTAAACTATGGTTATAAAATGACTCCAATAGAAAACTAAAGAAAACATGGTGTTCATAAAGAAAAATAGTCAAGATTTGAATATACTTGTAAACAAACAAAATAGCATTTTCTTTTACCAGCTAATAAATTAAAAGCAAGTTAAAATGCAATTTCAAAAGTATATTTGATGCAATGTTAGCTTATATATAAATTACATATTATAACAAAATATAAATTTCATATTGGAAATGTTAAGAATCTAAACAGAATTTCTTTGTAATTTTAGTCATGTATACATACAAAATTATTCTGGAATTTTGTATTATGTAATATTTTAAAAAATCTGGCTATGAGCTACTAGATTACTGTGCCATTTGTGAACATTGTACATCGAATTTTTTTTCTAACAACTGCTAAAATAATATTGAACAATGTTGCAAAAATATAGAGGCACTAGATTTATGGACTATTAACAGTAAAAGATAATTGTAAATTAACTTCTTTATAGATTAGTAGAATTATAATACAATTAAATTTATCAACATGGCTAGAGATTAATTATATATTCAGAATAAGATCCAACCTTATATATTTTCCTATGCTTTAATTATTATTTTTACTTTTTTTTCTTTATACTCTCAGTATCTTTTTCTTCATATATTATTTAAAGATATTAAACATTGCTATTAAACAGAAAACTAGGAGTGATTTGTGAATTACAGAATGAAGACTTTCTCTATATCAAAACTAAAACTTTAAATTTAGGAAATCAAGACCAAAAGTAGAAAAGCATCAAAACTATTTTCCAGCCAAACTGTTCAGTCTAGGGCCCCCAACTTGACAGGATTATGTAGTCCATCAGAGTAAAATTGCTCCACTGTTCCAATATGAATTAATAACTTGCAATGTACTTATTCTTCAGAAAACAGAGAAATCAGATGCACAATCATTTGCGGCAAAACATGTGTCCAGCACATCAGAACAGAAATCTAGCGAACGGCCCTAGCCATCCTCGGCTGGACCCTGAGGAAATTCAGATGGCTGATGTGAGTAATATGTCTTAATTCCCTGTGTAAAGACTCCTGAGAAAGCATAGAAGGCAGAACCAGAACCCTTTTTAGACCCATCCTTCCATCCTCTGTTTACAACTCTTCCCTTCCCCATTCCCCCACTCTCTCTTTCCTTCCTTACCTTTACCAAAGACAACAGTACCATTATGATCAGAGGTGGGGGCACAAATACATTTGCAGGAGGATTTCGTGAGCCTTTAGAGTACCAGAGGCATGGACCCCAACTGCTGACAAATGTGCAACCTCTCAGTGAGAAAGCTGCATTTGGATTGGGCTCTTAACATTACCTGCAGAGGGATCACAACATACCAAATAAGACACCTGAAAAATCATTTCGTCTTTTAAGTGCTGCTTCATTTCTCGAAGCTGTGAAGCAATCTGACAATGTGAAGGCTTTGGGTGGCTGCTTTAATCTCTTCCTTAGGTCTTCTAAGAACAGTCTGCAAATATCCTGGCAAGACATGCCCCCAAAAATTTCAGGATGACAGCTGAGATTTAAAATGGCTACAATTTGGGAGAGGAGGACTTTGAAGACACAACTGATTTTTCCCTTATAAGGAAAGCATCTCATCAAATGATTTATACAAGTCACTCTATAGCCGTATCTTTTCAGAGTGTCAGAATAGCAGGCCTCTGCGAAATAACCAGTGTTCTGTGATGCCTTTCCCTCTTCCCAGACCTCCATGAAAATGGCTGCTTACTTGATCATTTTCCCACATTTGTTTTTGTATGCTCTTCTCTTTCTTGTATACTTCTTTGGAAGGAATGGGATGGAAGTTTGCCTGAACTAGAATAAAGGATAAACCTCCTGCTTATAAGACTTGTTCCAGAATTGGCTTTTGATGAATTCATTTAGGATATTAATGTTTCCTAGGCATACAGTAATTATATAGTATAATTGGTTCAGCAAGGAAGCAAAAGTACATGTTTTAGGACAGACATGACAAAGCTTAGAACTGGCAGGAAACCCAGTCCCTCTGGCCTGACATCTGCTCCATGGAAGACACTAAAGCATAATCTTAAAAGCTCAGCCACATTTTGACTTCTGTTGAATATTGGTATTTCTCATTTAATAATAGTTAATTGGGACTGCAATTTCTGTTGCTCAGCCAAAATGATGGTAAAATGCAAAAACACATGATCACACTACTTAACAACAGAAATTCCAACACCTCTGGAATTTAAGAGAATCCCAAGATGTTATTCAGTGTGACATCGATCTCCCCTTCTCATTCCCCATTGACTTTGCTTGTAGGAAATGGGCAAAGAAGGTTGCAAATGGAACTGGGGGATGCTGTGAAATCATAATTGCAATGACCATCAGCCTCTTTCAAGACCTCCAACAAAGAACCTTGTGGATAACCAGTTCCACTGTCTGATACATTCAGGCAGTTCCACCCAGTGTCTGGTCTGAATCTATTTTCTTGTAGTTTTATCCTATGATTATTTCTAACATATCCAAAGAACTGCCTTTTCTTGTTTTGGGCATATCTTACAAGCCTCAGTCTACTATGATTTTTACTGTTTCTGGCAAAATACCTACATTTTCTAGAAGCCACCTAATAATCCTTACTTGGGCATGCCTCCTTTAATTTCCCATACAAGCCCCATTGGTCTTTGCAGCATTTTGAGAAGCCCCGTATTTATCCATATTACCCTGTTTAGATTTCTCCTATTTTTCCTGCTTCTGAAAATGATTTGCTCTCAGTATTTTATTATGTGGGATTTTCCATCCTTCCTAGAGTCAGGACTAAGCAACTGGATCCAATCTATTTTCCTTGTGTGACACTCTGCTAGATCAAAGTTCCCTGAGGATGGGCTCAGAAAGCTCAGAAATCTAAAATTCTGGTCCCAGTGACCAACCCAGATTGGATCCTGCAAGAGGACATTCAGGAGCCCTGCCAAATCTACTTTTCTGTTTTAAATTGAACATGTGTTTACAAATCTTTGGATAAATAGAATCATGGGATTATAGTGCTGGAAGGGAACTTGGAGGCTTCCTAGTCCAACCTCCTGCTCAACATAGGATACCATCCCAGAAAGATTGGTTGTCCAATCTTTTCTTGAAAATCTCTAGTGATGGAGAACCCACAACTTGGGAGTCAAGTTGTTCTACTGGTTAACTGATCTCATTGTCAAGAAGTTTCTCCTTAGTTCCAGATTGGATCTCTCTTTAATGAGCTTTCACTCATTGCTTCTTCTTCTGCCTTCAGGGGCTTTGGAGAATAAGTCAACCCTCTCTTGGACAGCAAGTACTGAAAGACAGCTATCGTGTGACCTTGAATCCTTCTCTTTGATAGATTAGACATACCTAGTTTCCTTAACCATTATATAATTTAGCCTCCAGACACACGTTTATCTTCATTGCTCTTCTCGACACACTTTCTAGAACTGAATGCAGTATTCCAAGTGTGGCCTCATTAGAGCAGTGTAAAGTGTACTACAACGTTGTACTATCACTTCTCATGATCTTGATATCCCTGTGTCACTGTAGCCTAAGAGTGTATTGCCTTTTTGGAGCTGCGGCACACTGGTGGCTCATACTAAATGGTGGGCCACAGTTATTACTGTTGAGTCAGGTGCCATATATTCTACACCTGTGCCTTTGTTTATTTCTGCCAAAGTGCAAGACTTTACCTTTCTTACCATTGAACTGCATCTTGCTGGATAGGGTCCAATGTTCAAGCCAGTCAAGATCCTTCTCAATCTTAAGTCTATCTTTTAAAGTGTTAGCTATTCCCCCCAGATTGATATCTCCTGCAAATCTCTTCTAGCCCCTCATCTAGTTCTTTTCTCATTTGGTTCCTCTTCTAGCCCCTCATCTAGATCTTTTATCAAGAAATTGAAGGGCACTGGATCCAAGACAAAACCTTGAAGCACCCTACTGCAAGCTGCCTTCCTTGTAGATGTACAGTAGTTCCAGTCGTGGGATTCAATTTTTTTTACTACCAGTTCTGTGGGGGTGGTTTGGTGGGTGTGGTAGGGGAAGGATACTGTAAAATCTCCAGTCAGAAGTGGTATTTGCTGGTTCTCTGAACTACTCAAAATTTCCGCTATTGGTTCTCCAGAACTGGTCAGAACCTGCTGAAAACCACCTCTGAGTAGTTCCATTGAGGACTACACACTAGGTATGGTTGATCATCCACAAAGAATAAATTATGTCAGTGGTAGTTTATTTCAATTTTATTCCATACCTTTTGAATTTCAATTTTGGGAGAGGAATTTAACTGTATTGTTTTAAAGTATAAGCTGTCTAAGACTTGTACATTCCTTGAAAAGGCTGAATAGAAATTAATCAAGAAATTAAATACATATATCAATATTAGTTTCAAATGCCACATCTGCATTGGAATGCACTTTTTGGTATTGTTTAGTTGGTGACGTCAAATTGCTTCCTAAGATCTTGGCTAACTTTACTAGTTTTGGGGATGGCTTTACTCTAACTATACATACACAGAATTATCTGCAAGTTGCCTGTATTGATCACAAATGTTTAACGGCTTATTTGAAATTTTGAGCTTTCTTATTATTTTACCATACTACAGTCCAAATGGAATGTCCTTTGTTATAAGGCCATTAGGAAAAAACTTTGAAGCACCCCTGAACAATGATGCCCCCAAAGTGAAAAAGGATTAATATCTATGAACTTGTGTCTTTTTCCCAGTATATATCTAAAAATGTTCCTGCTACTGAGCATGTCATAAGAAGAGAAATAGAGACTACCTTTTCAGGGAGCCATTCCTGTTCACCATCACATCCCTCTTCCACAGGAACTCCAACTTCAAGCCAAAGGTATGAGCGGAATATTTCATAGCTTAGATTTCTTTTTGACCTCTTTGGGATA